ACTTGAACAAGCAGCACGCCTGTCTCGGTTTACCGTCGTTGCTGCATTATGCCAACATCGAACCTGCATTATGCCAACATCGAACCTGGGAAGGGGTGGATGTTGGGGCGGAGGCGGGGGCGGAGGACTTATCAGCCAACAGTTTATCTTGCAACCACAGCTGCGCCATGTAAGTCTGGCAGCCCACTCCCACGGGCTCCGGCCCACCTACCTGCAATCTGTATAATGCGACCATCTTCTTAGCTAGTCGCAACCCACCTGTCTGCCACTATAGCATGGGCAAAAGGTGGCCCATGTGCCGGCCCCGCATTTTTACGCCGGGCCACGCTTAGCTAATCTGCAGCGCGCAACTTACCACTACCAATGTACCTTCAACCGTCGTTTGCGTCTATCTGACAGCGCCGGCTCCGTGCCTGCCTCAATCGTGGACATCGGGTTGGGGTTGGGCACGTGGCTTGTGGCGGTGGCGGGGGAGGGGGGCTGCGCCCTCGGGGCCACCTTGCCCACGGGGCAGGGCGGGCCCCACATCCTATGGCTGCAGCTCAGCCAGCAGCTTATCTCACAGCCACAGCTTTGCCATTTAAGCCTGGAAGCCCTCTCCCACAGGCTCTGACCCACCTGCTTGCAGTCTATGGATGCGTCCGTCTGGCAGCGCCAGATCAGTGCCTGCCTCAAACGTGGACTGGTGCGGGGGTTGCGGTTGGGCATGATACCGAGGTTCAATGGGCGGGTCGGGGGGGGGGGGGATCGCCTTGCTTGGGCAAGGGTACCAGCCCCAGGATTGCAATGGTTTAGGACAGATAGCACACAAACAGTGTCTGCCCTTCATGCTTTCAGCAAACCACTTTATGCCAACCTGCAGCATCAGTCTTAGTCAGCCCCAGCCCACCTATCCATCACTAGAGCCCGCGCAAGTGTAACAGCCCAAGGTTTGCACTACCTTGCGACAGCCCACACTTTTACAGCAAGCCGCTCTTAGCCCTTCAAAAGCACGCTGCTCACTTCTCCCATGTTACCTCTGCTGCACATTACTTATAGGTCTCGCCTTCACTCCTGCCTTTTCGCTGGTAGCAACCCAGGTATTGCACCTGGGCCAACCGGCGCAGTCTGCGTTAGTCCCGCACCGCTTGCGCAATATCCACTGCAAGAAAGGATGCGCTGCACTTTTCCTCTGACCGCTGGCGCCACCTGGGCCAGCCAACGCTGCCTTGAACTTGCTCGGCTACCCTGCACTAGTAATGTTGATCGTTGTGGGTTTAGATGTTGTGACCCTTGACAGTCAAGGTGGAGTGACGCGCTGAAGTCAGGATGATGGCCGAATGGTGCCGCCTGGCAGGCGCCTACAACGCATTTTACTATTCGCCGCGCTCTTTAACTGTCAGCATCCGCGGCGCCTGCCAGGTGGACTTCGCCAAGTCTGACATTCATTTTTCCTAGCTGCGCTCCTGAACGCGGTGCGCCTCGCGCGCCACGTTTGCCCAACGCAAATGGGAGGGGGGGGGGGGGGGGGGGGGGAGGAGGAGGAGGAGGAAGAGGAGGAGGAGGAGGAGGAGGAGGAGGAGGAGGAGGAGGAGGAGGAGGAGGAGGAGGAGGAGGAGGAGGAGGAGGAGGAGGAGGAGGAGGAGGGGGGGGCCGCCCGCTGGGCGCGGGCGCGGGGGCGCACCGTAGCGCGGCGCTGGGCGATGCCCCCCCCCCCCCGACAGGGGGGCGTGGGGGGTTTAACCCCTCGCCCAAATGTCGCCCTTCCCGCCGCGGCGGCGGGGCGGGCTGCCGGCGGCCCGCCGCGCGAGCTCCGCGAAGGCGAACAGCGGCGGCGGCGCTGTTGGGCGGCGCGCGAGGACCGCGACGTCGCTCGCGAGGTCCACCGCACCCAGCTCGGAGTCGCCAGCCTCGAGTTGACCACCTTGGCCATCGAGTTGTGCGCGACGGGGCGCCGAAAACGCGGGGGGAGCGGCAAATGGGTGCTTCCGCCGCCCCGCCCCCCCCTCGCGTGGGAGGCTCGTGGCCCGAATGCGCCCGCAAGCAGCCGGCCTCCGCGAGGGGCTCCGAGGCCGAAGTCGAGGGCGCACCGCTGGCGTCACCGAACAGCGCGAGGGGCTCGTGCGAGGTGCCAACGCCGAGGCCCTGCTGGCCGAGCGCGTCGCCGATGCAGGCCCAGCTAAGCTCAGCAGGAGGGGAGCAGGTACCCGTGCCCAGTCCGCGGGTAGTACGCCACGAAGCCAGAAGCAAGGGAAGGCCTCAACTTCAGCATGCGCCCCCGCGATGAGGTGAGCGCTGAGGTCGTAGGCGTTAGACTTTAGACCCGCAGTTGGTCTCGCAGGGCCACAGCCTCTGCAGCGGCGTCTTCACCTCGTGCCCGCACTTGGGGCAGATGCAGTGGACGGAGTCCAGCGTGCCGAAGGTCTCGGCAACCCGCTCGCCAGGCCAGGAGCCGCCAGCAGCGATGGAAACAAGAAACGGCGCAAGGTGCTGGTGCTGCTGGGAGCCCTCGAGCATCTTCATCATGGCACGATCGGAAGTCACGTCCGCCCCCTGCTGTAAACCCTCCCCGCACCAGTGGAGAGGAGCATCGCTCCAAAGCTGCTCCAGGATCGAGACGTCGAACGCGTCGAGCAGCTGCTGAATGGAACCGTCGACGAGCGCCTCATCAGGAAATGTCCAGCGCTCCCATCCGCCTCCAGGAAGGTGGCGAACCCACCCGTGCGGGCCCACGGGGTCCCAGTCGCACTCCATCAACAGGGCTTGCAGCGCTGAGATCGGGCCACGAACGTGACGGTGGCGCTGGGCAGGTGGAGTGTCCCGCAGCCGACAGTGGATCAGGATCCACGCTTGCTGGACTCGCCGCCTGAAGTCAGCATCACGACGCCATGTTTGGAACCAGAGCTCGAGCTGCTGTCGTGCGAAGCGACGTGCAAGGTCCTGTGCACCGTGAAGTTGTAGAACGGTGGTGGAGCACTTCCCCCTGCCGGCTGCAGCGCTGACGCCGCCGAGGCGCTGGCGGGCCTTACGACCGACGCCAGGAAGCTGGGGTCCCAAGGACCTGGTGCCCGTAGCTGGCTGCAGCCTGGGGGGACGCCTGCTCGATCCGCGAGCAAGTGCGGTACTGCTCGCTGGCCTGAACGAAGCCTCGGACTCCAAGGTGCGAACTGACGGTCTTCGTCGTCCTGCTGGTCCGTGTAGGACGTCGCGTGCCCTTGCACAGGAGGAGGAGGAGGAGGAGGAGGAGGAGGAGGAGGAGGAGGAGGAGGAGGAGGAGGAGGAGGAGGGAGGAGGAGGAGGAGGAGGAGGAGGAGGAGGAGGGAGGAGGAGGAGGAGGAGGAGGAGGAGGAGGAGGAGGAGGAGGAGGGGGAGGGCGACGACGACGACGACGACGACGACGACGGCGACGACGACGAGGGGAGGAGAAGAAGGACGAGTACGCAGGCAAGGACGAGGACGCAAGGGGGCAAACCTTCGCCCGCAAATGTACTCCCGCGTAAAATACATTCAGCCGGGTTTCCTCAACGGGGGTGGTGCGCTACCTCCAGAGAAGACCTGCTTGTACCCAAGACGTCCCCCCTGGACGCGGGGGAGGAGGAAGGAGAAGGATCGGCTGGTGGGTACGTCTGGAACCAGTGTTCTCTGAAGGATCAGAATATACGAAGAGAGAAGGGAGAGAGGGAGAAAGGGAGGACGAAACGAGAGAGGAAGGGAGAGAGGGAAATAGCAGGGCAAGTACAGCGTGCAAAACAGAGGGGAACGTAGACAGGCCTGTGTCTCCACTCCGTGACCGAGGAAAAGGGTAGCAAGAGGGGGGGAAGAGAAAGGAGGAGGAAACGTTTGGCTTGGAGGCCAGCCCGCCAGGGGGCGGCTGGACAACTGAGCCTTAGCCTCGCGTGTCGAGACGCCGTGATTCGGCCGCATCTGTTACCTGCCTCGCACGTGTGTCGAGGCACTGTAACTGGGCCGCATCAGTTCCATTCCTTCAGTCCAGGGCACCACGACAGGTGCCCGTCTCCTCGCGGTCACGCGAGCCAACCTGGCATCGCAGAGCCATGTGCGAGCTTCCCCTGGACCCTTACCAGGCTTCCGTCTCTGAAGGTGTCGACGGCGTTGCTGTCTAATCTAAAAGGAACTTTTCATACTGCTTTGTGTCCACCCCTCTCCTTTTCCTTGCTTTACCCAAACTCGAATCGGCTACATTTAACTTGGAGTCGACAGTATCCGGCCGACCGACCGATGAGGAGAAGGAGATGAAGCAGGGGGAGGAAAGAGGGAGGGACGGGACGGGGTGGAGGACAAGGAGAAGACGGATGGATGAGGGAACACGTGTGAGGAGCGTAAAGGACGGATAATGATGATGGAGGAGCAGGAGGGCCTGGAATAGGAGGAGGAAAACGATTCAGAGTAGAGTGGGGAGGATCGCACGTTCATCGGAAGTGCTCATGTTGAGGCCGTGGACTGTCCAGGGCAAACTCAGATTGGCTTCAGTGAATCCCACCGCGTGTGCAGCGGCGATTTCTCATCCATTATGCACATACTGCCACGAGACCGACATGCTCAGAAGATCTCACGGTTGCTGTGCTCACTCCTGTCGACGAGGAGGCGGAGAAGGGGCAGGAGGAAAAATGGGAGTACGACGGCCAGGAGGATGGAGTAGGAGGACGACAAAGAAGAAGAAGAAGAAGAAGAAGAGGACGAGAAAAACTACAAAGACGATCGCGATGACGGCGGCGGCGATCACAACGACCACGACAACGACAACGACGACGACCGAAATCCGCTCAAACCGGTCCCAAGACCCATTCTAGAATCCATCCTGCACCGTTTTCCGCTTCCGATCGAATAGTCCCAGGGCTCCAAGCGAGTCCCCCGAAGGCCAAAGATGGCGCGAAAAACAAATCAGAACCTCGACGCTCGCCGACGGCGACGGCGGCTACGGCGACGGCGACGTTGGCGGCGGCGACGGCGACGACAACGTTGGCGACGGCCTCAGGGGCGACGGCGACGGCGGCGCGGGCCTGAAAACCGCGGTTGCCAGCGCCTTCCCGCACGCGCCGGCCCAGGCGAGCCCCGACAGCAGACCGAGCGCCTCCGTGGACTGCTCGGAAGGGCGAACGGCCTGGGCGAGGGCAGCAGATTGCGACGGCCGCCGCCGCCGCCGTCTCCGTCGACCTCCTCCCCGCCGCCGTCTCCATCGACCTTGTCGCCGTCCGCCGCGCCACCGCCCAAAACCGCCGCAGGCCACTGAGGATGGCTGATGGCCGCCGAAGGCCTCCGCCAAGGCCGCCGAAAAGGCGACAGACGCCGCCAGCCGTCTCCGTCGTCCTGGCCGCTGCCGCCACTGTCGCTGTTGCGGTCGTCGTCGACGTCTTCAATTCGGAATTTGTTGGACATGTCTGGATGCCTTCGTCATTATGGCTGGACACAATTCGACGCGAACCTCCCCCTCCCGCCGCCTCTCGGTCTGGTCACTCTGGATCAACTGACAGCGCGCCAAGCGCCGCGCGAAGCGCCGCGCACCTGCGTTCCCACTTTCGCGCCTCGCAGCAAAGTGCAGCTATGTCAGCCTACGCCGCGCAAAAACAATCAGCATGAGGACCTTGTGGTAACAGGTTGGATGGTACATGAGAGATGGTGCACCATCCAGAAGACTGATCGGGTCTTGTTTTAGGTACGATAAAAAAAAATTGATGCGCCCACAGCCAGTATCGGCAAATAGGGCGAAGGCGTTTTGAGCCAGACGCCGACGGCACGCTCGCTACGCTCGCTATACATGTGCCCCTTCTGACCCCCTCATGTCAGAGTCGACGGAGCTGTAATATTAAACTACACTTTCCACAGAGAAAAACGCGCGAAGGCTCGAGTCAAGACGAGCCAAGTCCAGCCGGCCAACGCCAGGCTGGACCTGCGAAGAGGCGGCGGTCACGATCAGGCATCGTGCCAGGATCGAGCCGCGAAGTGGCGGCAGGGGCTGGCCTGGCCAAGTGCCAGGGGCAGCCCTGCGGGGTCCAGCCATAAGGCAGGGGCCCACAGGCGCAGACAGCGCCAAACAAGTAATATAATATTCCAGGCAAAACGCAAAAAACATAGAATATTATCCCAACGCGTGTTTCCACGCCAAATAGAAGCGTTCCTCCGGCTCGCCGCGAGCCAGGCCCAAGCTTCGAGGTCGGAGCCCTGTAAAGAGCGTGCGTCCTCAACTCGCTCTACAAAGATTGCGTTTCTGCCATTACCATGTTCCGTTCTATACTGCCTTTGGTCTGTCCATTGGCAGTCGCATGCTGTGTATCGCACCATTTTATGCTGCGCGCGATGCGTCCATCCATCATCTGTCTTTTGCAGCTAATGTGTCCTAAAAGTGTGCGTTATGTTGGATCCCTACGATCCTTGCTGGACAAGGGTTCGACCACCGACTCAGCATCGATGGCGAGGGTAACTTTGATACAGAGACCGCCAAATTCAAATATATTTCTGAGTTTTGCGGGTGCAGCCGGTCCCGCCATTAGCTCATGCAGGGTAACAGTGGTCGGGTGGCAGTCCTCGAAATTATGGGCTGCTGCGAGCGTCTCCGCAAAATGGCTTGATTTTACCAACAGTCGATGCGACTTGCAGGAGACATCGATCAAGTGTGCGACGGACTTACCAAATCTTTCGATGATCAGGTTCTTGGACCTTTTCGGGAAGGCTGGCGGATCTGGCACCTGAGACGGTTGAGCGGTTGGGAGGAAACTGTTGCGTTGCAATCCCATTGTCCCAGATTGGGTAGGCTGTCAGAACCTCAGGAGGCGCACTGCTGATCCATTCGCACTCTCTACTCCTCGAGTGCTGAATGATAACGATCGAATGCTCGGAAAAACAAACTCACCTTTGTCGTGCCCCCCCAAACGGGTCGGCACGGCGGGCTGGGCGTTTCGCCTGAAACCTCCCCACCGCTTATGGTACTGGAACTTGAACTCTGCAACAATTTCACGGGTGGGCGGCGGGCCGTTCTCAGGATGTGGCCCTCGCCTTGGCGCCGCGCGCATTCGTCGTAAACGTGTGCAAGAATTTCATGGGTAGAGGGCGGGTCGTGTTCAAAATGCGGCTCTCGCCGTAGTGCCGCGCACACACGTCTGAAAAGTTGGCAAGCCTTTCATTGTTGGAGGGCCGCACCTGTTTCAAATGTGCTTCCCGCCTTAGCACCGACTGCAAGGGCTTCACGAATGGAGGGTGGCTCCTTTTCAAAACTGTGGCCCTCGCCTTGGCGACGTGCACACTAGTTTTGAAAGTTTGCCAGAGCTTCGCGGATGGAGGGCGGTTCCTTTTCAACATGTGGTTCTCGTTTTGGCGCCACTCACGTTCGTCTTAACAGTTCACAGCAGTTTCAAGGATTCTGTTGGCTGACGTCCCCAAAATGGTGTTTCGGTACGCTTTAGGATTGTCCAGGCTTGGCAGTCAAGTTGATTCGCGGGGCTGACATCCCAAAAGTGGTATTCTGTCACAATTTAGGATCGTCAGGTCGCAACAGTAACTTTGATTCGCCGCGTTGACGTCCCCAGGAATGGTGCGTTGGGACGGTTGAAGATTTTCAAGTTTTCCTCCAACGGGGCTCTTCCTGCATTGAAGACAAATCTCTATAAGAGCATATGGAGAGGGAACTTGGAGGGAGGGTGTACTGCAATATCGTTGATGACTCTTCTGTTTGCACAGGCCCTCCACGTGCACATGCACACTGGCTCAAAATCCTTACAAGACAGGTTGGATCCCCTAAGACCACGAGCGAGTCAAACATTTGCCCTGATCATCCCCCCCTGCTTGTCCACCAACTTCATTCCTCCTTCCTCCTCCGGTTCCCTTCTTTGCCCTCCCCATCTTCCTCCTCCTCCGCCTCCTCCTCCTCCTCCGTCTTCAATCCCCCTCCTCCTCCTCCTCCTCCTTCTCCTCCTCCTCCTCCTCCTCCTCCTCCTCCTCCTCCTCTCCTCCTCCTCCCTCCTCCTCCTCCTCCTCCTTCTCATCATCATCATCATCATCACCACAATCCCCACCTCCACCCCCAGCCCCAGCCCCATGACCATGACAATGACCACTATCAATATCATCATCTTCATCGTCTTCTTCTTCTTCATCATCATCATCATCATCATCATCATGAGCAGCATTGCTATTATCATCAGCGTCATCATCATCACCATAACAATCATCAGTACCAACATCATCATCAAGACCATCACTGTGAACTATAACCACAATGTTGTTCCCTCCTCTCTTGCTCGTGTTCCTGATCATAGTTGTTACCATCTCTATTCTGATAGTGTCCCCTCCCTCAACCATCTTATGTTGTGTTCCGCCACCTCAATCCTCCCCCCATCATCCTCCACTTTCTCCTCTGTCCCCTTCTTTCCTCGATCTAAACTCCCTTCATTACCCCGCCCTCGCCGACAAAACACACCGAGGCGAGATGCGTTCCGTAACTCCACTGGGGGAACCCATCCAATCGACAATCTCACGAGATGGTTGTCGAAACCAACCCCCTGACATCCTAATCTGTTCGCACAGTGGGCGCCTGGGTCCCGGGGCCTGGCAAAAACATCCTGACACCGAAACATATGAGAAACTAAGAAACTCCGTGATACTTGTTTGACGGCTCGATAGGGTCTGGAAGGGCGATGGGTCCGCCAGGGACATGAATGAGCACCACTGCCAGACTTCTCTCACAGTGCGATATCAAGCCTCGCAAGTTCGAGCCTCGATCCCCCCTGGTCCACCGCGCTCGGCTACACGCGTGAGTGACCCGGGCGAGAGGACATTTTGGGGCGCGGCGTCACAAATCCACCCGCGCAAGCCTGGGCCTGGGGGACCCGTGGGTCTGCGCTAAATTTGGACACCCTACGGTACGGAACAAAATGACTATCACACCTGAGAAAACCCAATCAGTGGATGATCTGAAAATCAATACTATGGACCTTAATGAGATCGATAATGAGATCGATAGTGGGATCGATAGTGAGGACGATTGTGAATTGTAAGGTCGATCGTGAGACCGAGAGTGAAATCGATTCAATGAGATCGATCGTGAGATCGATCGCGAGATCACTCATGCGATCTCTAGTGAGATCGCTTGTGAGATCGATAATGAGGTCGATTGTGAGATTGATGGTGGATCGATCGAGAAATGGGTAATGAGATCGATGGTGAGACCGATCGATAAGAAGATCGACTCAAAACCCGGGAACCTCGCCGCCCTCCGAAATCGGCCCAGAACCCGGAACCGGGAACCCAGGAACCCAGAACCTGGAACCCACGAAACGAGCCAGCAACCAAAATCGGCGGGACACTTTCGCAAAATCCTTCAACATCCGCGAGGACCCCTTCAGTGCAAGCACTGAATGGGGAATGATGCTCAGCAGCAAATGCTGACCAAAACCGACCGCGGCCGCGGCTGGGCAGGCGGCTTTCTGTCTCAAATGCGCAATGTCCGCGGCGACACCGACAGCGAGCCCAATTCAAAATGAACAGGAACTGCTGTTGGTATCTGGGCCCACCCTTCCCATACGAATTCTAGTCGTTCCGACCAAAGGTCACCTCGGCGAAAACAACCGGCCCTGGTGCTCGCGGCTCGGCGCCGCCGGGTGTCCACCACTCCGCCCTGCTGCTCCCTCTCCTCCTCATCCTCCTCCTCCTGGCCGGGGGTGGAGAGTCGGAGTCTGTCAGGGCGTGTTGTTTCGGCGGGGGTTTTGGTTCCGGCCTGTTTCTCCTGGTGCCTGCCTAAGGGCCCTTCGACTGTTGGGGCCCGAGGTTCCTTGTTTCCCCAGGGGCCGTCGCAGCACGGACGCTTCCGAGCCCTCGTCAAGCCATGTCGCCATGTTGAAAGGGAACTGCGTCCGAAGCTCCCGAATGCCGGCTCAATGGGAGCACCACCAACCAACCAACCCCTCATCCTCCTTCCTTTTCTCTTGCTCCTCTTGCTCCTCCCCCTGCGCACAGGCGGCCCGCAGCCCTGGTCCATCCCGCCCCGGCGTACCACCGCGCCAGCGAACGCCACCGTGGTGCAGACCAGGGCCAAGTGCACGGCCGCGAGGGGGCCGCGCGCCGCGCCGAAGGCCTCGCGCCGGTGGGCGGGCGTCGGGCGTCTCGCCGCCACGGCTGCTCCCAGATGTGGGCTCGGTAGCTTTGAGCTTCGAGGCCTCGGGGTGGGTTCGTCCCCGTCGGGCCTCCAAGGGTAGGGGGTCGTCGCAGCCGTTGTCCGCGCCCCGCCCGGTCGACATGCGAACTCGGAAATGTTGAAGGGCGCCCACGGGATTGCTGGTCGGAGATCCTCCGTGGGCGGGGTTTGCTTGAAGCCGCCCAAAAGAAATCCAAGCGCGCCCAGGAGGAACTCTTCCGGAAGCGTCCTCAGAGCAAGTCCCGGGATAAAGAAATCGATAGGAAGATAAATATATAGAGAGAAGAAACGGATAAATAGAGGCAGAGGAAGACACGAGTGACGAGGAGGCGGAGAACGAAGAGGACGGCGAGATGGCGCGGAGGGCAAAGAGGAGAGGAGCAGCGGAGGCCACAGGCAACATGCGTATGTATGAAAAGAAGGACAGCCTCATAGCGCAAGCCCATCGCAAGCACAGCTGTATACCCGTGAACAACGCGAAGACACCTGTAGCAGTATCTGAGCTTGGATTCTAAGCTTGAGGACGTTCGGACTGCAGCTCCACGTCGTGACTCTAACACAGGCTCGTTGCCAAAAAATGCGTGCTTGCGCCCGTACTATCCTTCCGCGCGGTTGAAACCTCTTCCGACGCGATGCGCGGACGTGCGCACTATGGCTTTTTTTTCTCCTACACAGCACCACCAGAGCAGCTCCCGCCGACACAGTGGCATCCTCACCGTGCCCGTGAGGTGGACCCCGAGGCCAGGCCAGAACAGTCTGGCGTACCCGCGTGCCGGCCACGCTCGACACTTGCGAAACACAGCTGGTGGCGAAATGTCACGCGCGACGTCAACTTTAAACCCTGGCCCATGCCAGGAGTAAAAAAGCACTGGCAACACTCCCCTAAATGGCAACATTGGGTCAGAAATCGTGGAATGCAGATTTAGCGAGCGCAGAGACCAAGCTCCATGAACGACCACGCAAACTTGAGATCCCGACCCTGTGTGGAAATCCCCCTTTGGCCTACTCAGCCGAAAACTAAAATCGCACACAGTAGCACTAGAAGGGAAGAGGGGAGGAAGGAGAGCGGAAAACGGCTGCGCAGCATGCCAGCAGCCTTTGCCTAACGCCAGCCCAAGTACAGCCGGCCGGCCCCTGGTGAAGAATAACACCGATGTGCAGACACTAAGATGTAACTGTATAAACAGACATGCACATTCAAGAACGGAGGAAGGAGGGCAAAGTGAGGGGGAGCAGCTCCCACAAGTCGAGTCCTACCGAAGAAAAAAGGGAGGGTGACCAGGGTGCCGAACCGAGGAGACATTGTTTTTCCGGCTCCCTAGTGAGGGGCGCCATCCCACCAGGGGCCGACCGACACGGCACCCCTCCATTCATACTCTTGATCGTGTCCTTCCGGAGGCCAGCAAAGATCTGAAACGTGCACTGGCTAGCAAGACGAACCACGTCGTGTGCCCCTCTACCGCCACAACGTGGGGGCGAGTCGCCGCGCGCGGGGGACGAGGGAGGAGAAAGAGGGGGCGGAGGACAGAAGGAGGGGCGGGGGGGCAACCCCCTTTACCACGCAAGCGCTTGCACTGACGGAGCTGGTGGGGAGCTGTCCGCCGGAAGGCGGCATTTGCCGGCTCCGGTGCTGTGGCGAAAGCGGCCCCGTCTGCAACGCCGCTTCTCCAACGGAAGCCTGTAGTATCAAATCGGGCATGCATTGCGGAAGAAGCTGCTGTCTGTGCACCGCCTCCTTCACGGCGGCCTGCAAATCTGAAACGTGCACTGCTGCGAAACTACGTTTGTGAACGACGCCATTCATTAAAGCACGAACCTGTGGCACCGCCACATCCGCGGCTGGCACAAGAAGACTTCGCCCACAGCGCGGCGGGACGATCCGGAAGAAGGGGGAGAAGGGGAGGGAGAGGGGAAGACGGCGGGGAGGAGGAACGATCCTGCAGAGCGTGGTGCAACCCATCGCCAACCAGGTCGGCTACTGCTCCAGGCCGGGCGAGGCGACGTGCACGGGGTGAGCGAGGAGGAGACAGGCAGGGGAGGCGAAGAGCCGGCCCGCCCCGGCGGGGTTAGCCGGAGTTCCACCTCCAGGAAGCGAGAGCGGGAGGAAGGAGACGAGGGGGGAAGGATATTCCAGGCGGGCGCGGTACAACTTTGAGCCCTTTTCCGCTCCATGCAAGCCCACGCTGAGACGCCATCGGCCGTGCAAGCCACGTGCGCACTATGGTTTGTGACTCGCTCTCCGTGGTCAGTATTCTTGATATCTCTCGCCTGATGGCATCGGTAGTGGATCAAGACCCGCGCGGCGCGCCGTAGCCTGCGCACACCGCCCCCGCTGTCCTGACCCCAGTCGAGGCCGCCAGGCGTGCGGCTGAAGCGGCTCTCACGACTCGACGAGCGCGGCGACGCAGTGACCCACTACGCATTCACACGCCTCCACACGCACGATATATACACACGTATGTATATACATATCTATATATATACACCTGATGTACTTCCAACCTTTCGCTAGAGACGCAAGGAATGGAAGCCTGCGACCCCCCCACCCCCTGCGAGCATGTCAAGACGATGCTGCGACTCTTCCCTGTTGATCTTGCAATTTATCTGCACAACAACCGTTCGCTGAGCCTTGACCACCAACTGCCACGCGCAATCGTGCTTGTCTGGGCGGACGCAGATTTGTTCAAGGAGCAACACATTGAATGAACCCTGATTCATCCCCAGAGCACAATGTGGCACGACACCTCGCGCACTTCTATGCGGCATAGCCGAGACATCCCAGAAACCCGATCATGCGTCTTTCTCTTTGGGAGGCCACAGACCCCGATCCAATACCACCCCGTGCCGTCAAGATGCTGGATCAGTGCTTCGAGATCTACGATTGCCTTGCAATGACCTTTCTACTGCCCGCAAGCTCGAAAGCGGTGGCATAATACTTGTGCCAATGGCCTGCTCTATGGCGCATTGAGTGGCATCGGCTTCATCGCACGTCCGCAGGCTGGATCGATCGCTACTCACGTCCTGCTTGGCAACGACTCCCAGACTGCGAGAACTGAGCAGAGTAACCACGTAAGAAATTGTTGTTGGTAGTAGCGACGTGGGCCTCTGTGCTGTGACATGACCTGGCTTCATTTTGTGTCAGGCATTGCCCGACTCCTCCCTGTCTTCACAAGCGCCTGGCGTTTCCCATTTGCATCGTCTTCTTTCAAGATGGCATGTCCTTCTTCCTGTCCAAGGCAATTAACTCGGTTCAATACGAGCTGCAGAAGGGCAACTGCCGTACAACCAAACCCTCTATGATATCGCACCTGGCAATCTCAATTGTTCGGGCGGGGTTACCGTAGCTCTTCATGACACTCCTGTTGAACTCGCGTTGGCTGGCGTCGCCAACCTCGCTTGCCACTGCGATGCCTGGTGCCAGGCAGCCGCGACCGCGGCTGCCGCGTGAGTACGCCTCTTAGAGGGGTCAGCGTCGCACCTCCCATTGGAGAGAGCCACCAGGGCAGCGGATAGGCGGGTTGGGCGTCCCAGCCTTTGCCCTCTTCTTCTTCTTCTGAATACGAATTGTCTTCATACTGTGAGTATTAACATGTTTTGTTCGTGTATATGCTTCATATGTTTCGTTGTCTTTTGTAATACTGGTTTGATGCATATCATTCGCATTCCCATTATTGCTACACTCTTCCGTTTCATAGCATCACTCCTCATATGGCTGTTATTACTACTATTCTCATTACTAGGACCATCGCGCGCGCCTCGCGCGCGCTGAGGTTCTAGCCCAGGCCGGGGGCGCGCTAAAAGATCTTGGACAGCGCTATCAAGCACAGGCGCGTGACATAGTCGTGCCTCCTGAGGGCCTCTTGGGAACCTCTTGGGTCTCCTGGGGGCTTCCTGGGAACCTCGGGGGGCCTCTTGGAAGACTCTTGGGGGGCCTCTGGAAACCCTTCGGGGCCTGCCGCGGGCGTCTTGGGGGCCTGTTCGGGCCTCTTGGGGGTCTCTTAGGGGCCTCTTGGGGGCCTCCTGGGGCGGGGGGGCTGGAAGGTTCAGTTGGGTTTCCCGTCTGGGGCCCCTCTTGGGGCCCTTCGGGGACGCGTTTGGGCCGTCCTGGGCGCCTCTTGGACTGTCCTGGGCCCCTCTGGGGCCGTCTGGGGGCTCTCTTGTTGGCTTCGTGGGCCGTCTTGGGGCGGTCTAGGGAGAGTCTGAGGTCGTACAGGACGGTACGAAGGCCAAAAAATCCGCCGACCCCTTGTGGGTCTCTAGGCGTGTGAGATGGTTCCCCCCCCATAACCCCACCCAAGGGACCCCAAACCGGAGATTTGACCCCCCCCCCGGCCCCGGGCGACCCCGGACCGAACGCGTCACGGGGGAGCGGAGGGTTCCAAAACTGGCCATGAAGGCACCAGAACGCCCCCAGACGGTCCCAGGGGGCCACGATTCGCCGAAATATGACCCTGGACGCCCACGATGGCCTCCAAGCGGCCTCCGAAGCTGCCAAGACGCCCCAAAAGGCCTCCAACATGCGCCCCAAAACGGTCCCACGAAACAGAAATCGTCCCATTCCCTTCGAACAATTATCCCGGCAAAGCAACCTAACAGCGATGTGTAGAAGCATATCTGAAAGCATTCCCCTTAAGATTCAGATGAAAATCCAGTTGTCGAATTCTGCTGTTCTCGCAGTCGTAGTCGCATTCGCGATGACAGTCGCAGCGGCAACGGCAGTCGCAGTCACAGCCTCAGCCTCAGCCTGCCTCCTCCTCTCCTCCTCCTCCTCCTCTCCTGCTCCTCCTCCTCCTCCTCCTCCTCCTCCTCCTCTTCCTCCTGCTCGTCCTCGTTCTCGTCCTCCTCGTCTTGCTCGTCCTCCTCCTCCTGGTGCTCTCTCCTCCTCCTCCTCCTCCTCCTCCTCCTCCTGGTGGTCCTCGTTCTCCTCCTCCTGGTGCTCCCCCCCTCCCCTCCTCTCCTCCTCCTCGTCCTCCTCCTCCTCCTCCTCCTCCTCCTCCTCCTCCTCCTCCTCCTCCTCCTCCTCCTGGTAGTCCTCCCCCTCCCCTCCTCCTCCTCCTCCTCCTCTTCCTGGTCGTCCTCGTTCTCGTCTCGTCCTCCTCCTCCTGGTGTTCTCTCCTCCTCCTCCTCCTCCTCCTCCTCCTCCTCCTCCTCCTCCTGGTGGTCCTCGTTCTCCTCCTCCTGGTACTCTCCCCCCCCCTCCTCCTCCTCCTCGTCCTCGTCCTCCTCCTCCTCCTCCCTCCTCCTCCTCCTCCTGTCCTCCTCCTCCTCCTCCTCCTCCTCCCCTCTCCTCCTCCTCCTCCTCCTCTTCCTGGTCGTCCTCCTCCTCCTGGTCGTCCTCCTCCTCCTGCTCGTCCTCCTCCTCCTCCTGCTCGTCCTTCTTCTCCTGCTCCTCCTGCTCCTCGTCCTGCTCCTGCTCGTCCTCGTCCTCCTGGTCTTGCTCGTCCTCCTCCTCGTCGTGCTCTTGCCCCTGCTGAAAATGTGGCCCAGGAATGGGAGTTCTGGGAAGTCGAAGAGCACGAAGTTGCCTACAGTTGGCTACGGGCATTCAAAATGTGGCCCGGGAATGGAGTTCTGGGAACTCGAAGAGCACGAAGTGGCCTACAGTTGGCTCCGGGCATTCAAAATGTGGCCCGGGAATGGAGTTCTGGGAACTCGAAGAGCACGAAGTGGCCTACAGTTGGCTCCGGGCATCAAAATGTGGCCCGGGAATGGAGTTCTGGGAACTCGAAGAGCACGAAGTGGCCTACAGTTGGCTCCGGGCATCCAAATGTGGCCCGGGAATGGCGTTCTGGGAACTCGAAGAGCACGAAGTGTGTGACTGTTGCATCCGGTTATTCTAAATGTGGCCCGGGAATGGCGTTCTGGGATCTCGAAGAGCACGAAGTGTGTGACTGTTGCATCCGGGTATTGAGAATGTGGCCTGGGAATGGAGTTCTGGGAAGTCGAAGAGCACGAAGTGTGTGACTGTTGGTGAAAAACGAGCCCGGCACCTGCCGCCCGGCAACTCCCAACACCTGCCCGGACCCCCCTGTGGAGTGATCTGCTGCTCTCTTTTGATCCCACTAGAAACCTATCAGTCTTCGCTGTTAGGTAACAATCATTTTTCGTATGCTCGCCTATTCGGTTTTCACAACGTCCCAGACGGGCAAAAAAACCTTCAATATCGCCCCCAGACGGCCAAAGGGGCCCCCACGAAGGGTCGAAAAGGGTCCAACAACAGCCCCCGAAGCCCCCAAGACAGCCCAGGAGGGCCCCCAGACGGCCCCAAGACGACACCTGTTCGAGCCTTCGGCCCAAAGACGCCCCCAGCCTGCCCCAAGAACAGCCCAAGAGGCCCTGAGGGACCCCCAAAAGAACCCCAAAGGCCTCCAAGAAACCCCCAGGAAGCCCCAAAGAGGCCCCAAAACTTGGCCCAAGATGCCTCGAGGCGGCCGGATATGGCCTGCAGACAGGCCAAGATGCCACCAAGAGGCTACAAAAGAGCACCAAGAGGTACGATAACAGCAACGAAGCAACAGGAACGATGTCGAGCGCCGTGTCATGATTCGGACAAGCCTCGTGAAATGCAGTCCTGGAGGCGCAGTACCTTATATAGGGGTCGGCGGATGTGGCGTAAACCTATAGAATCGAATATGGTCCGTCGGCCCCCTTGTGGGGCCACCAGGCTGCGAGGCGCGTGATTCGCAGTTTCCTGTACCATTTGTAGTTTCTAGTTTCCAGTGTTACAGTTCTGCTTCTTGCTGGTTACTGTAACTAGTTGACTTCTTGCTGGTTACTGTAACTAGTTGATTGATCGCGAGAGGGGGGGGGAGGCCCAAACAGGATTTTCCGGCGTCCCCTGGGCGCGTTGTCTGAATTACTGGGGGGGCTCGAAATCGACACCCCTCACGCAGATCCGCGGGGTCAGGGTCCAAAACCACAAGGGATTTGCCACATTTCTGAAATTCGGTGCCACCCCTCACGCAGATCCGCGGGGTCAGGGTCCAAAAACACAGGGGATTTGCCACATTTCTGAAATTCGGTGCCACCCCTCACGCAGATCCGCGGGGTCAGGGTCCAAAAACACACGGGATTTGCTACATTTCTGAAATTCTGTGCCACCCCTCACGCAGATCCGCGGGGTCAGGGTCCAAAAACACAAGGGATTTGCCACATTTCTGAAATTCGGTGCCACCCCTCACGCAGATCCGCGGGGTCAGGGTCCAAAAACACAGGGGATTTGCCACATTTCTAAAATTCGGTGCCACCCCTCACGCAGATCCGCGGGGTCAGGGTCCAAAAACACAGGGATTTGCCACATTTCTGAAATTCGGTGCCACCCCTCACGCAGATCCGCGGGGTCAGGGTCCAAAAACACATGGGATTTGCCACATTTCTGAAATTCGGTGCCACCCCTCACGCAGATCCGCGGGGTCAGGGTCCAAAAACACAGGGGATTTGCCACATTTCTGAAATTCGGTGCCACCCCTCACGCAGATCCGCGGGGTCAGGGTCCAAAAACACAGGGGATTTGCCACATTTCTGAAATTCTAACCCATCACGCACATCCATCGCAAGGCGTGGTAACCCAAACTGCGAGAACTCCCTCGGCCCTTTCATCGCAAGGTGTGGTAACCAAGCCCTTAAACCATACACGTCTTACCAATCGCCAGGTGTGGTAACCCCTCTTGTGATCAGTTGGTTTTGCTGATTGCGACTCGGCTTCGCTTCGCATGAAGTTTCGATACTGCTTCACGACAGCGCCAAGGCCTCACGACTTAGCTCTTCCATGGCCCATTCTCCGAGAGAGGGGGCAGGCGGCAGGGGGCGAAGCCCTTACGGATAAAAATGTACGTTGTACGAAGGGAACGGCCACGTCCGGAGGTGACGTGCTGAGCGGCAGCGTTTTTCGGCGAACGCCTTAATGCAACGTATCCAATGTATCAAAAGATTCCATAATTGCAACATATTGTATTGTGTTACATTAGTATGTCTCCCCCCCTAACCCCCCCTGGGAGCTGCGCCACACCGCCGGACCAAAATGACCCTCCCCTTCTGGGGCCCTAGAAAATTACAGAAAACCCATGAAAAATCAACAAATTCGGCCTCTTGGGCCTCTTGGGGCTCCAAGAGGGCCTCAAGATGGCCCTAAGACGGCCCAAGACGGCACAAGATAATCCCAACGGGGGCCCATGAGGCCCCCAAAACGGCCCCAAGAGGGCCGCAAAAACTCCAAGGACGGCCCAACAGGGCCCAAGAGCGCCCATAACTGCGCCTCCAAAGGCCGAAATCATTGATTGTCCGATGGTTCCTGCAAAATTTTAGCGTTATAATCTTTTTCGGCTTTCAAAAATCCATGACGGCCCAAGCAGCTTCCAGAATCGCCCCAGAACAACCCAAAAAAACCCCAAGATGGCCCCAAGACGGCCCAAGAGGGCCCCAAAACGACCCAAAGAGGCCCCCAAGACGGTCCAAGAGGCAGCGACGACGGCCCAAGAGGACCACAAGAGGGCTCCAATGCGGCCGCGAGAGGCCCCCAAGACAGCCTCCGAGAGGGCGAAACGGCACAAAAGCGCACCAAGACGGCCCAAGACGCCCCCAAGAGGCCCCAAGAGGCATCCAAAAAGTCCCCCCGAAGCCTCCAAAAGGCCTCCGACAAGCCCCCCAAAGGCCACACAGCGACTGGTGTGTAATGTTATTTTCCCCCCTCTGGGCGAACTGCGGCGCAGCGCCAGCCAGGTGGAAGTTGGTCACTGCGGCGCCCATAATTGGAGCCGGCGATGGAAGGGAAGATGGGGAGGGTGTATGAATAGGAGGGAGGGGGGAAAGCCCCCAAAGAAGCCCAAAGAAGCCCCAAAGGCCAAAAGAAACTTCCAGGAGGCCTCCAGGAGGCCCCCAAAAGGCTCCCAAAAGGCCCCGCGACGACGTGACTGTACGTGCTCCGGACGTGCACCCCGCGAAGCGAGAGGAATCGAATATGGTAAAAATGTACGTTTTACGAAGGGAGCGGGGCTATTGTTGCTTCCCAGGGCTGTCTGGGGGGATCTCTTGGAGGTGTCTTCGAGCGTCTTGGAGGCGTCTGGGGCGATTCGAGACGCCTCTTGAGCCGCCGGAGACCGCTGGAGGTTGTCTTCAGGGTGGCTCCGGGCGGCCTGGGGCCGCCTGGACGGCCGTCTGGGCGCTCCGGGGGCCGACCTAGGGCCCGCCGGGGAGCGGGCTGGGCCCGACGTCCCCCCATTTGTGGTCGGGGCTGCGGCCCCGGGGCCCCCGGGCCCGGTGCGGCGTTATATGTAGACATATATGATTTGTGTAATTCTTATTATTGGTATTCTCGGAGTTCAGTGCCCCCATCGACGCCACTGCCGCCGACCTCGTGATGCACATGGCGCTTGGCGCTTTCTACGTGACGCAGGCGGGCGAGCGGCGAGGCGCGCGCGACAGCGTGCCACGCGGCGGCCACCGCGGTCAGGGAGACCTGCACCGTTTACTCCGGCACTCCGGAACTCCCTCCCCTCCGCCACGACGACGACGCCGACAAAGCCGACGAGGACAGCGACGGCGACGACGACGACGACGACGGCGACGGCGACGACGACGACGCCGCCGACAACTGTGACGAGGACGATGACGGCGACGACGACGGCGGCGGCAGCAGCGACGACGACGATGCGCCACAAAAGTCTCGATTCCATCCCTGGGGGGCCATGTTTGATAGCCCTGGGGCTCGAAAACGACCCCGAAATCAAGGAACAAACACGATCGACGACGGCAACAACGACGACCATCGTCGGGGGGCTCACCGCCTCACTGCGCAGCCCCGCAAGCAAGCCGGCGAGCGCGGTCCAGGCAGATGCGGAGGCCGCGACAGCCTGGTCCGGGGCCCATGGGGAGGGAGGGGTGGCGAGGAGGATGGCGAGGAGGGACTGGAATGGAACGCCCAAAAGGGGGAGTGCGCAACACTAAACATTCAATGAAACACAACTTAATCAGAAATCAGAAACAGCGCGTAGGGTTGGGTAACACGAACCCTGGAGAGGTCTGGGGCCGCGGCTCCAGGAAACGTCAACCCTTGGAAAGAGGGCCTTGGCGGCCTGTTCTTTTATATGAACTCGCTCTACCAAAACTGCCATTCGACGCTCGTGGGAGGGGGCCAAGCTCGTTCTGACCACCATGGGAGGGTCCTGGGGCTGAGGCTCGGCGGACTGGCCAAGCCTTGTAAGCGGCACCGCACGATCGATCACAGCTCGAACGCGGGGATGGACGAGGGCGAGGAGGGAGGTTGGACGATGATGGAGGGATGGAGGGAGGGAGGGAGGGAGAGAGGACGATAGAGGATGGTGGAGAACCAAGGAGGAGGAAGGGACGGGCGGGAAGATGAAGGAGGGAGGGAAGGAGGGAGGGAGGGAAGGAGGGAGGAGGAGGCAGAAGAAGAGGAATAGGAGGCTGAGGGCAAACCAAATCAAGACGAGGATCGGCCCCTCTTTTTCATCGCCCTCCTCCTCCTCACCATCATCACCATCATCATCATCCTCATCATCATCACCATCATCACAATCACCATCACCACATCACCATCACCGCCACCATCACCATCACCATCGCCATAACAATCATCATCAACATCATCAACCTCATCATCATAATCATCATCAACAACATCATCATCATGCTCTTCTTCAACATGCTCCTCCACCTCCTCCTCTTCCTCCTCATCATAATCCCCAACACCATCGTCCATTCAACCGTCACTATATCCTCTTCCTTATCCTCCTCCTCCTCCGCCTAGTCATCCGTCCTCCTGGCTCCTGCGAGACACATTCCCGCAAGAGGAGGAGGAGGAGGAGGAGGAACGGGAACGGAACGATTGCGAAGCAACGAGTTGGTTCCTGTGAAAAGAACATAGTGAGGATCTTCGCATTGCAGCTATGGGCAATCACCTTCGACCTTGCTGGAGGGAGGCCTCAGGAGGCCAAAAGCATGGATCGTCATGAGGTTTTTAAGGTTTTTCAGGTTCTCGCTATTTCGGGCCCAGAAAGGTCCAACACGGCCCGAACCGCTGGAAGCGTTCAACCTGAACTCCTGCGCTGCGGACGCCGCCGCATCACTTCGGCGTGATCCTGCCGCCTGCCGTTTGGGCGAACCTCCCAGACGCCATCCCGACCGGCTGCTCGAGCAACGCCCGGCCGTGGACACGGGGCCCTACGAAGCCAAAAAGGAGCATGTGTCTTAAACATGAGCTTTCGGAGTACCTCCGAACGCGCATGGCTATGCCCCTTCATGTGCTCCGAGCTGGGAGCACCGCCACGTGAGCGCGGCGCGACCCTGCCTCAGGCGTCCAGCCCCAAAAGGCCCCAAGGACGGCCCGAGAGAACCCCCAGGACAGCCCGAGAGGGCCCCGAGATGGCCCGAAAGGGCGCCGCGGGGCCCCCCTCAGAATCCCCGTGCGCCCCCAGAAGAGAGACCCAAGACGGGCCAAAAGCAGGGCCAGAAGAGCCGCGCCCCTCCTTCCATCGGCATCCCCCCGAGCCAGCAGGGGCCTCGCACAGCGCCCTCGCGCGGCCGCCGCGGCGGGTCGCCCCTGCGCGGCCGAGGGGTCACGGTCGGGGTGAGGGGCGCGCAGGAGAGAACGTACTCGCCTAATTTCGCGCATCGCGCCCCGCGATGCACGACGCGCCCTCGCGCGGCCACACTGGAGAAGGGCAGCTCTGTGGCACAGGCCGCGACGCGCAAAGCGTGATGATCCTCCCGCCCCTGTGGGAGACCAAAGCAAGGGGCATGCCACCACCGCCATGCATTCCCTCGCGGGCGAGCTGTGCCCTCAGGACCCGGGTCGGCAACCCAGAACTGGCAGAATCACATGTGCCTCATGCCCCTCGGGAGGGGCCCGGGGGGGGCGCCGCGGGGTCCGAGGGGAACCATGCGAATGATGATGAAAACGGAAAACTGTGGGAGGTCGAAAGGGTGGTGGAGGTGCGGGGGGAGTGGGTGGAACGCCACGGGGTAAGCGCGCAACCATGTGAGTGGTGGCGAGGAGGAAGGGAGGATTGGATTGCAGCATCGTCGAATCGAAAAGGATGGCCCTATCTATGAAAGACAAGGCGCATGACGAGTCGAAACCTGATTCAGCGCATAGAAGGGCTCGGCGCAATGTGGAGGGATGGGAGCGAGGGGTGGGACGTCAGAAGCGCACATGGTTGCCGCTTTTACTTCTGCTCCCTTCGCTGCCCCCTCTGACAGACTTTCGACCGAAGCGAAATCCCAACATCCCTCTGACACTCCCCCAACAGCCTTCGTCTCCCCTTCCTCCCCTTCCCGATCCCCTGTTCCTCCTCGTTCACCTCGTCCTCCAAATTCCTCTCTTCCTCCTCCTCCAGCTCCTCCTCCTCCGCCTCCACCTCCACATCGCCATCCTTTTTCTGCCGATCCCACGGCTGAGGCCAACCCTCTGCGAGGAGAGACAGGAAGAGGCAGGACAATTCCAATGTGGTGAAAATTTGGGTTCAGCTGGGGCGGCCGTCTGCCAGTCCCGTAGAGCGGGTATGTAGGGAGGGTTGGAAGAATCACTGGATGCAGCCTGCCCGAGCCAGGAGGCCGCAGAGGGAGAGGAAGGGGAAAGGAGGGGAGCAAGCGAACGGCGGGCCTTGGAATCAAACTGCTACAGCGGAGGCGCACCAACAACACAATCTCCCAGGGCTGAGGCCAACATTCTGCGAGGAAAGAGAGAGAGAGAGAGACATAGGAGGCACTACTATTTTCCAATGTGGCGAAAATTCTTGGCGCTTCGCGTATCCCCACCGGATCTGGTCTACAACATGCTCTGGGCAGCCATTGTGTGGTCACTCGGCCTTGGCACTCCCTGGGAGGACGCAAACCACGCAGTGTGCGATGACTCCCTCCCACCGGTGCCGCACGTCAGGGGACGACGTGTAACACTCTGCGGTCGGCGCCAGTGCACCCCCAAGGGACTTTTTCGGCAGGTTCCCCAGGCGTGGAGTGCAGCAACCAAGGAGTGCTGCAGACACAGGAAGCACCCTGGGATGGCTGGCCTGCAGGAGATCCTTAGCGGCGCCCCCGTCGATCCAAATTGGGTCCAGCTCCGGAAGGGAATTAAAGACACAGATGGCCTCCCCATGGAGTCCAGCAAGACCCGGTCGCTCTTGGTCGTCATGATGTTAATGCTCCGCGAGCCGCGTGTGTTAACTTGTGGCCTTTCCCTCACGCCGAGCAGGCTGGGAATGTGATCGAAGCCATCCTGGGTTTCTGTGTCCCATGGCAAGAAGCGCACCGAGGGTTCCGGCACGACTTCGCAAGCACCTGGGGACTCACGCTGGACGATCTGGCCGATCTCCACGGCCGCATCGAGGCAATCCTGCCCCACATCTCCAAGCTCGTAGCGGTGGCACACCACCACCCCGACGCGCGGGCACCTGGCTGCCCGCAGACCTGGAGTGAAATGGACCGACAGGACTTTCAGCGGAAGGCGCCGATGCTCGTCCTCGAGAAGATCGTCCCAGCCGCCTCCCTGGCCTCCCTGGGTACGCACCACTGCTCGGTGTGCGCGCTTCACGTCGCGCTCGCGGGCTCAGACGCCTCCCTGGGTGACGACGATCGGTGTGCTGGGCTCGCCTACATCGGCGGCGGATTCGCGCTATCCAACACCGATCTGAACGCCCCCTTGCCGTCCGCCCCTGCTCCAGGCACCAAGCAGGACCCTCCACACATTCCCGACGACAGGCTGACAGCTGAGCAGAAACACGGCAAGTTCAAGTGCGACAGTTGCGGCAAAGACCAGCTACGCTCCACAGAAGGCACGTGGATATCTGACGACACACGCCTGATGGTAGCGCAGAACCGGCCCCAGGCCTACCTCGACGGTGCAAACATGGGGTGGCACTGCGAGATCTGCTGGATCCGACACCTGGAGGACCAGGGCATCCCAGCACCAACCGGCGCAACAGTCGCGGACAAGGTCAAGGAACACGAGCAGCAGAGGACCGGTGCCGCAAGCGACAAAAAGGCGGATGCCCTCCCCTCCCTGGGTCATCTCCGACTTGGCTTCGGATGCAGCCCCCAGGCAGACACGAGAACGCTGTCGGATCTCATCATGACGCCGACGGGCATGCAAATCCCTGCGCGCGCCAACACCACCATTCCCGTCCTACGGGTCAGGGATGAGCGGTTCGGCCTCAAAGCTGCGGAAAACAAAGTCTACTCCGCACGGTGCGACACATGCCCCCCCAGGGGCACCGCTCCTTGTCTGGAATACTGGAGCACCTCCCCTGGGCTGCTTTATATGGAAGCCAAAGGAGGGGGTAGGGGTTCCCGAGCAAGCTGGGCTGCCTCCCATCGAGCGGCGAGCCATAGCCTGGTGGGAGCGCGACTGGAACGCCAGTTGGTGCTGCCGGCGGTGCCTGGTCCCCGTATGGAACATCGGGCCTGCGACTCTGGACCGCATCCTTGATAGAGACTACAGGGCACTGTATCCAGCTGAGGCCCCTGTCCTCCCAACGCTCAACAGCCAGATAGTAGCGGATGTGCCAGGGGACATTCTTAGATCCCTTCCGTGGATGGGCGCTGACGCCAAGGCCCCAGATCGCTTCGCCAAGGCTGGAGCGGCAAACCTCCCTGGGCCCAGCGCCTCGGGTGGAGCGGCCCCCGCGGCCGAGCAAACCCCCAAGACTGCTCAGAGGACTCAGAGGGCTCAGAGGGCTCAGAGGGCTCGGAAGGCTCAGGGGGCTCAGGGAGCTCAGAGGGCTCAGTGGGCTCGGAGGGCTCAGAGGCCTGAGAGGGCTCCGAGGGCTCAGAGGGCTCAGGGGGCTCAGAGGGCTCAGAAAGCTCAGATGGCACAGAGGGCTCAGAGGGCTCGAAGGGCTCAGGGGGGTCAAAGGGCTGGAGGGGTCAGAGGGCTCATCGCACTCAGCGGGCTCAGAGGGCTCAGAAGACTGAGAGAGCTCAGGGGGGCTCACCTTCTCGGGGCCCGAACGAGGCCCGAGCCCTTGGGGCCTTGGTCGGGGGTTTTCTCAAGGCTTCAAGGCGCCCTCAGCTGGCTCCGAGACGGGTCTAACATGGCTCCAAGAGTGCACCAATAATATTGCACGACCGCGCAGCACTCTTGGGCCCCTCATGGTGTCCTATTGGAGCCCTACTAGGGCCCTCTCCAGACACAACGCAGCCCGCGGGCGGGCCCCGCAGGGCGCGCTGGGAGTGGCAGGCGGGGGGGAAAGGGGAATGGGGGGGTAGATTGCGACAGTTTAAAGCCCCAGGGGCCCCAGGGCCCCCCCCCCTCCCTGGGTAGATTGCGAAACTTAGACATTGTCGCGGCAGCTTGTGCACAGGCAGCGTTGGGAGAGGCTGGTTCAGGATGCAAAAATGTGAAAGTGCAAGTGGCGCGGGAGGGGGTTGGCGCAGGGGCCCACCCGAAGCCCCGCGGGGGAGTTGCACTGTTGCTGGGCGACGGGTGAGGAACGTGAGGGGAATGTCGGGGCGCGGGGGCGCGATTTCACTCCTGCGCCCCAGAAAACGAACAAGTTTTTCCCGAGTTGATATTTTTCCCCCCTGAAGCCGAGCTGCCCAACAAAAAAATATTCCGAAGTTGTTGGTTCCCCTGAAATCGTGCTGCCGAAAAAAAATATTCCGGAGTTGAAATTTGGTAAAAAAAATATTCCGGAGTTCTTCCGGGGTTATTCCGGGGTTGTTTTTCTGCGCCGAAAGCCGCGTGCGAAAAAATCCTTCCCGAGTTGAAATTCCCCCCCCCCTAAAATCGCGAAAACAAAAAAACTTCCGAACAAAGAAATGTGTTAAGGTCCGGGACCCTTGCGAAATTTGAAAATTCGTTCGCCGCGACGGCCCGACTGCCCCCGCACGTCGCGGAGTTCCTCCGCGGACGAACCCCCGCGGCGGCGCGGGCGGCCCAGAGGAACCCCAAGGGAGGCCCAAAGGGGCCGCCCCAAAGGAGCGGCCTAGGAGCGGCCCAAAGGAGTGACCGCAAGGGGGCCCCGAGGGAGTGGCCCCAAGGGAATGGCCCCAAGGGGGCGGCCCCAAGGGACCCCCAAGGGAGCGGCCACAAGGGAGTGGCCCTAAGGGAGGCCCAAGGGAAGCCCAAGGGAGTGGCCCCGAGGGAACACCAGTAAGGCCCCAAGGAATAAGCCCCCCAGGAGCGGCCGAAAGGAATCTCAAGGGGGGAGGCCCAATTGAACCCGAAGGAGTGGCCCAAAGGAGCCCCAAGCGAGGCGCCTTGATGGGCTGGAGTCCAAAGGAGGGGGGCCCCATGGGGCCAACAAGGAGCCCAGGGGCCATGCATCGCCGCTCGGCCCCCTCACCCTGGCCAGTAAGGAGCCCTCCAGACACGTCTGGCACTTGTTTTGCTCCTCGCAGGCATGGAGCGTGGCGCGCTTATGGTGCATCGAAGGTGGCCCCGGGTCTGACGTCGGCGCTGACGTCGGCGCCCCTGCGGGCGCTCGCGCAGCGCAAGGCCCAAACGGCGACGGGCAAAGCCGCAAACGGCAGAGCTCTGCTCACCTCAGGGCTGATGGCCCCTATCGATCTTATTCCGCGACCTGTTGCACTCGCGGGAACTCT